TACAATTATACTATAGGAACCATTCTTGTTCCCAGAAATTATATTCATTTATACAAGATATTCATTTATACAGTATATATTTAGACAGGATCGACTGTACTTAATAATAATATTCTGTTTTTCAAATAAATATAAATACAATTAAATACAATTAGTAATAAAAAATGATTAATAATATTTTAGAATAATATATAATATTTTAAAAAGTTCTATAAGATTTTAGTATATTTTAAAAAGTTTTAAAGTATTCTTAAATATTTTTAACTATTCTATAATATTATAGTTATATATTATATAATATAGCAGATATAACAAAATGAAAAAATTAACTTTTTTTTTATTCTTATAAAAACTGCTTTTTTTTTTTTATAATTTATAAGACTATAAAAGAAAAAAATTTTTTAGAAACCTTATCAAAGCTAACAAGAATTCTTATTAAATATAACTGAATTAATTTTTAAGTTTTTATTTATCAAATATTAAATGAACTTAAAGAAATATATTTTAATATATTTGTTTATTATTTATTATATTAGAATACAAAATGTTGAAATTATAAAAAAAAATAAGAACAACAAGTTAATCAATAAGTTAAGTCATAAAAATTTTTTAAATAGTTTATTAATATAGTTAAAGTAACAGATTTATATAATGGGAATTTAAATATATTCGATAATATATATTCTAATAAACAAGATATGTTATATACCAGTCATTAAAAAAATATATTTTTAATTTATTTTATTGAAATATACAGTATATTAATTGCTATAATAAATTATTCAATTTATTTTATATAAAAAATTGTTTTTGATTAATATTTTTTTTTCAATAATTTTAATTCTTCTATTCTATTATCTACAGTATTATTGATTTGATTATTTGTTATTATTAAAATTATTTTATTATAATTATTTTTAAGTTTTAAGCAAAATCTGAAAACGAATATTTTTGCTTCACATTATATATTTGAAAATAAAAAAACAAATTGCCAATTTATAAAACGTTCATATACTGTAAATATTACGTTTATTTAGAGGAACAATTATAAACAACAAAACTTTAAATAAAATGTAGCATTGTACTACGTAAAAACTCTTCTAAAAATATATTATGAAGCTTGTTTATCCACAATTTCAAAATTTCCGGAGACCTAAATGTATAAAAAAATCGAATCACTTGCAAGGAAAATTTCAAGATCATATCCGATAGACATCAAACATTACCTTTTTTAGCAAATGTTCTCCGTAGATAACGGAATCATAGCGTTTAACAGGATTGATTTCTAGACATCGCTTGAGTGGTTCAATTTTTGCATCAAAATTTGGTTCATAAAAGAATGGAACACTTCAAAAAAATTTCAATTTTCGGGAAAGTAAATTACAGTAAATCTTATATTCAGATCATAATTTAAACTTGGAATTGAGAACAAACATGATACTAACGAAACGCGATAACTATTCCCTTTATGAATCACCCTGTGTAAAGTACTTCGATATACATCATTCGTCCAAACCTGCCGATGAAAAAAAAAAAAAATTAAAATGACTAATTTATGTAATATTTTCTATGCTCTCATTGAAAGTCAATCGGGTAAAGCCTACATTTAACATATCGCCGATGTTAACGATGAACGAACCAGGAATTGGATTGGCATAAATCCATTCACCTTCTTTTGTTTGTACTTGAAGGGCTTCTCTTGTGTTGTCCTAGCCAAGAATGAATAATTCAATAACGATTTTAAACTCATAAAAAGTCGTGTGGTATATTCACCTGATTAAGAAAGGTCAAGCAACTAATAAATAAAAAAAGCATAGATTAGATGTAAAAAGCCGTAGAGTATTAGCCACAGTATTCTAAAATCCTACCCGTAATCTAAAATTTTTTCGCATTAATTAATATACAATACATAAAAAAACATCGGAAAAAAATCCTTTCGTACCCGTGTGTTCGCCGCAACTAACACCTACGCGATCCGTACCTTCAGAACTATCGAGCGGAGGATAACCAATCACTCTCATGACCCTATAAATCCAATAAATTAATAAACGCAGACATGGTCATTAAGAACCTTACGAAATTTACCAAAAAGGATCGTCCAAAAATTTCTCAAAAAAATTCTCTTCCAACCCAAGACCTAATGCAATTGCGCTCATAACCTTTTCACCCAAATTTATCATGTAGTTAACGTATTTCTCAAAAACTTCTTTGAACTCTAGTGGATTTGTTGGCCATTGGTTTTTTCCTCGAAGTGGAAGATTATTCTTGGCGAGATAATGATCGCGAGTAATTGGTTTATAATAATCGAGAGCCTTGAAGGAGGTTAAATACGAAGCTCGAGCGTTATTATACTGTAGGTCCATCTTGTGTTTGTTATTCACGATGTGAACAGATTACCTCATGCCAATCTTTTTGGTATTTAGTAACATTCTCTCCGAGTCTTTGATATCCCCTTTAAAATCAAGAAGCATAACATTACAAATTAGATTCTGTTCAAATAATACATTAATGATAATACAGTAATTCACCTAGCCATATCTTCATTAAGGATACTCAATTTCATTTTTTCTGCATCTTCCAAATGAAAAAATTCGTTTGCCAATTTCAAAACTTGTTCACAAATCTCTTGAGGCACATTATGTCCAGTCAAATAGAAAAATCCAACATCACGGCATGCTTCATGAATTTTTTGAGCAGTTTTGATCTTCAATTCTCGCCGAATTTTATCATTATTTTTGGGGGAAGTGGTGAATGCAGATATATCAATTATTGGAAGTGTGAGCGATGAAGGCATTATGATGAATTCGAAATATTGTATTTCGCAGCTAGTATGTTAATTTTATATATACCGAACACCTTATCAACTATAAATTCCCGTTTCTCGAGAAAACTGCCGATAAACCTAGTATGGACAAGTTCGATGAAAATCCACAGGTCTCTTGACCCGCATATCACTAGTCTTTCATTATTAATAAAAGGCCTATTTGAGTTATGTAATACTTACATGTGTGAAAGTCATGGTTGCGAAAAGAACTGACATCATAAAAAACATTGCACTTATCAAAATTTGTTTGATGAATAAGCTTATATAACAATATTATTGACATATAAAAACCCAGGTTTATTAGACCTTAACCTTATAAATGTACGTCAATGAGTTTACCTTTAACAGTTCTATGAGTACTTTTCTTTGGATTTGAATTGGAACTTACGATTTTAAAATATTGATGGTTTTATTAAAAATTTGTCAAGTCAAATCTTTTATCAAGGTTAAAAATTTATGCAAAAAATAAAAATTTCTAAATAAGTTAATATTTTATATTACGAACAATAATAGGCCGCTTTATATGTCAAATAATTGATGTATTTAAATTTAAAATGTTTATTGAAGAAACTTAAGTTGGATTCATAATTGCAGTTTTTATATATTAATGTGACAATACAATTAATCTATAAAATATTAAAAGTATTAATTGTTACTTATATAAAATATGGTTACATGATGCAATATTAATTAGTAAAATGAAGGAAAAGAATATATTGGTCATGACTCATTAAAAAAAAAACTTTCAGCTGAGTTTTTGTTCTAAAAAATCATTTGGTTTGTCCTCCTCTGTTGTCACTACTCCTTAATACGTAGCCATAGCAGACAGTATATATGGATGGAAGAATTGGAGGGAATGGTGCAGAGGGGTTAACAAATATTTCCCTGAATATATGAAAAATTTTTAATCAATAGAACGGATAAGAATAAGTAAATACGCAATAAAATAAAAATAATTATTACCTCGTATTAAGATTCCACCAAAAACTAGTTTTGGTACTATATCCATATTTTACACTTTGATCTAAATTCCAAAAATCCAACCCCCAAGGCGGAGACCCCTTGAAATAAGACACTTTCGTGAAATCTTCCTCACCATCATACTTGCATTTCCTCCAAATATAACCATTCATTATCCATGTCCAAGTGATCCTGTAATCACATGCCTCCAAAGAATTTGGATTAATAATTGCT